TGTGTGTTGCTCATCAGCTGATCACCTCTTTAGGACCGAGGTTGAGAACTTCAGTCTTGGAAGATCTCCGAGAATCAGCATCAAGCTCTAGTTCCTTGTTCCAGGCACCTACCAACCTTGTTGTAAAACAGTGCCTCAAGTTCTCCGTCATGGATATACTTTTTTTTAGTTTGATCACGTCTGTAGGTTGGTGTTTGCTCTTGTTCGTTTTTTTTTAAAGAAGTATATTAGGGTGACATTTGTTGCATAGATTACTGATTATAAACCACAAAACAGTGGTCTTGAGGGTGTTTTAGTTGTTTACAGGAGCACCTGAAGAGCAGGCAGCTAACTCGGTCCAATTTAAATCAATAACGTAAAGGTGACTGCGGCCATTAAGAGCTGAAATGGGATGAAAACTACACACGTGTCCTTTTGGACCAGGACTGGACACTTCTGACTTGAAAATAGAAATAGTTTAAAGGCCAAAATGGATACAGTACATCAGACAAGATAAATGTTAATATTTACTTTAAAATATTGTGTTCCTAATAGTTCCGACTTTGTGGCGTGTGTTCATGATATTACCTTTATTGCGGTACTGAAAAGAGAAAAAAGGTCAATTAACGTATTTAATCATGTAAATAATATGATTTTTATCGTCGCTAAGAAACGCTCCAGCCAATCAGCGGCAGGTTTACAGTGACCCGGGAAACGCGAAGACACTGCACTGTGGGGCTCTCTGATTGGACAGCCGAGAGACACGGGACCCACGTGTGGACGGAAGCCGGGAGGGGGAAAGCGTTTGTAGAGGACGGCGTTTGAATGTGCTCTCGTGTGTCCTGTAGCTTAGAGATGAGTGTCACAAGAGTGTAAAACAGACGTCGCTTTTAGGAAGAAAAGCTATTCCGTTTAAGTCCAAAGCCATCGCCGTTGCTGTCGTCACTGGATCCTAACCGAGCAGTTTTCCTTCTGAAGTATGTGTGAGAGAGGGACCGTCTCTCAGTTTCTCCACAGCTGCTAAAATAACTGCTACATAGACAGCTCTGGGTTTGCAATCAGGCGTAGTAAGCTATTTAGGAAGACGTGTTGACTGAGATTGTATCACTATGATAAGTAGTGTATGATGATTTACCTCGCGTCAAACATTTCACAGGTGTCTGACATAATTAAGATATAGTCTGGTGTGCGTAAAGAGATATTGGAAATATTGAAGTGTTTAACTGCTAAATTCATTAATATCATGGTCGTGGTTGATCTGGCGATGAGTGATATTACTTGTATTTGTCTCGTTGTACACACACACGGGTGAAAAAGGAAACGGTCTCCTCCTGCAGCATTCTGGGAAATGTAGTGTAACAGCTGGAGCAGTCACTGATTTAAGCGATACTGACATTTACAGAATCCATTTACATTTGTTTAATGGATTATAATGATACTGCTTTTACTGTTACCTTTTTACTTATCGTCTAGTGTATTCCAGTTATTGCATTTATTAGGCTGACTAATCACTTCAAGCACCAGGAGCATGGATGCCTCTCGGGGCTCTGTCTGTGAAGAGCGTGCTTTAGGAAGAAGGGTTCCCAAAGAATTCGTGGCAGATGGTCTAGTCCATAGTGAATTGCTTCTTGCCTTTATTATGTATTTTCTCTAAAATACGCGAAATATAAATGAAAAAATCAGATCCGTGCATTTCTGCTGTCCAGTCGCAGAACCCTGCACCGGAGGAATCTCAACATTTCCCAGACGGCTGCCGATTCCCTGGGGCCGTATTCTGGACCTTTCGTTTATGACGTCATCACTCATGCATTACGTAACACCGGCTGTTCCTGTCGGCGACGCCCTCCAGCCGAAGATTCTCCTTCTCCCTCTCGGTCTCTCTTCCTCTGCAGCCGCTCGGAGGGAGGGCAGGCGCGCGGGGGATGAGGTCGACGGTGCTCCTCGCCCCGGTCACGGCGCTGGAGTTTCTGGGGGAGGAGTATCTCCTGTCAGGTGAGGCGGGAGAGCCAGCGAAGAGAGCAGGCTCCTCCAGAGGCAGGGCGCTGTGGCACATCAGTTCAGTTCAGTTCCAGGTGCTTTATTGGCACGGCCAGTGAGTACAATCGGTGCTGCCAAAGCAAAACAAATTAACATAAAAAATTAGACATTTACAATGAAGACACATCAGAAGACATTTACATACGACATAGAACATAATTGGGAGACAGGCTCACTGCTCCTCAGGCTGTGACAGGAGATCACATACTGGGCTGCAAGTTCAACTGAGTTCCCTCCTCCCTCTCCCAGTAGGATTGGGACCTGTTCTGATTCTGGCAGGTGTGGGGATTCTGGGATTAGATCTGTTGTTTTGGGGGGGAGAATGTTTCTCTAATCCCAGAGTATCTGTCACAGTGCAGTAGGAAGGGCGCCTCTGTCTCTGTTTCTCTCCGCCGGCAGTGGGAGCTGTTTGGTCTGCACTGTGGTCACATCTCTCTCCCTCCCCTTTCAGAATCGGCCCCGCGTTCGCCGGTTTCTTAAAAAAGAGGAATGCAAATAGAAAAAATAGAAGCGTAGCAATGGAAAAGGATGCGGACATGCCGAACTGAGAATTGTCCCCCTGTGCCCCGCCCGCTGTCTTTACAGGTGAGGGTCCGGTCCTCTCTGTCTACAGCCTGCACACGTCCAGCACAGCCCCACGGCAGCCTGGCGCCACACTGAGCGTGCTCAGAAACCACCGCATCCATGGCATCCGACCAGCCCCCCGGCGACAGGAGAGCGGAGAGGGAGGGTCCCAACAGCAGCCACGCCCACACGAGGAGAGTGGGGGCGGAGCCGAGCCGAGGCCGCGGCAACACGATGAAGGAGGGGGAGGGACCCAGGGGGTGGGCGTGAGAGGGGCCACATTAGAGGAGACACCATGGCAGCAGGTCGACCAAAGAGCCGTGGAGCTTCGGCCGCCGGGGGAGGGGCTAGGAAGGGGCGTGGCTCCGCAGGAGAGAGAGGGCGGAGCTCTTCTGGCGGTGTTTGGGGGCAAAGCCGTGTGTGTGGTGGAGCTGAGGGAGGAAGAGCGCGCCGGGGGAAGCCCCCGCCTGGCCGAGCTGTGTCCGCTGTGGGAGCTGCAGGACTGGGTGTGGGATGCCCACTGGCTGCAAGGGCGGCGCCACCTGGCCGTGGCCCTGGCCCACAATGCCGTAGTCCTGTGTGACCCCTGGGCCCGGGTCGCTCTGGCCCTGTCGCGCTGCGCGGAGGGCTGCCTGCTGTACTCCGCGCTGCTGCTGGGGCCCAGCTGGGCCGGTCTGGTTGTGGTGGGCGGTACGGTGTTCAGCCAGCTGGTCCTGTGGGGGCCGGCTCAGGGCGAGAGCGCGGGGGGGGGCGGGGGCGGGCCCGCAGTCCAGCGCCGCCTGGAGGGGCACGAGGGGGTCGTTTTCGGAATCGCCTACCTGCCGGAGTCCGGGTGGCTGGCCTCCGCCTCCGACGACCGCAGCGCGTGCCTGTGGCAGGTGGGGTCGCTGGGGGGGCCGGCGGGCTGTGGGTCCGAGAGCCCGGTGCGCCTCTGGGCTCTGTACGGGCACCAGGCCCGGGTGTTCGCGGTCCGGCTGCTCCGGGGCCGCCTGCTCAGCGCCGGGGAGGACTCCCTCTGCCTTCTTTGGGACGGGCACCGCGGCAGCGTGGCGCGCCGGTTCAAAGGTCACAGAGCGGGGGGGGTGCGGGCACTGGCGGTCAGCGAGGGTGGGGGAGGTGGGCACTGGGCTGCCACGGGGGGGGCAGACGGGGGGATTCGAGTGTGGCGGATCGGGGGGGACGGAGAGGGGGAGGGCGGACCTGGGAGGGGCTGTGCTTCTGCCCCACGCCGCTCTCTGTGCGACCTGAGGTTCAGAGGCAGAGGGTCCCCCAAAGTGGTGCGCCTGGCGGGCTTCGGGGCGCAGGGGCACTTGCGTGTGGTGGTCCTGACAGACGAGGGGTGCGTGTACCTTCACAGCAGCGGGGAGGGCGGGGGCGAGGGCTGGCAGCCGCTGGGGGGGGAGGGGGACCCCGAGTTCAGGTCGTACAGCGTCCTGGAGCTCGCCGAGGCCGGCGGGGGCGCGGCGCTGTGCGCGGTGGGGAACCTCGCCGGCGGGGTCCGCGTCTTCGCGCTGGAGCAGCCGGGGGGCGCCCTGGAGTTGAGGGCGGGCCGGGGCAAAGTCCACAGCCTGCACTGGGCCAGCGAGAGAGGGAGGGGCGGGGAGGAAGAGCCCGGGCGCTGGCAGCTCTTCGCCTCGGGGCCGGAGGGGCAGGTGTACCGCTGGGAGGTGTGTGCGGCCGGCGGGCGGGGGGGGCAGCAGGCGCTCGGGGTCCGGCCTCTCCGCCCGCTCCTGCTGCCGGCCTGCGCCAAGCGCTGGCTGACCGCCGTGGCCGCCCTGCCGGGCAGGGGGGCGCTGTGGGCCGCAGGGGACCGGAGGGGCTCCGTCCTGCTGTACAGGGGGGCGCGGGAGGGGCGAGGGGGGCCGGACGAGCCCCCGCTGGGCCCGGTGTCGGTTCTGTTCGGCCTGCACGGGAAGCAGGGCGTCACCTCCCTCCGGGCGCAGGGCGGGCTGCTGTACAGCACCGGGCGGGACGGCTGCGTCCGGGTGCTGGGGGTCCGGTCAGGGGACGAGGCGGAGGAGAGGCCCGACACCCTGGAGGTTCTGCGGGCCCAGCGGACCTGCCGGGGCATGGACTGGGTCGAGAGAGTCCTGTTCCCCGAGACGCAGGAGGAGGAGGAGGAGGAGGAGGGAGGGGAGAGGAGCCCAGTGGAGGAGGAAGAAGGGGGGACAGAGCGCGCCGAGGGTGGGGGTGGAGTCAGTCCGGAGGAGAGAGGCCGGGGGGGGGACAGACTGCGGGGAGCCACGGAAAGTGGGGCGGCGGGGGGCGGAGGGCCCAGGGGGAGGTTTCTCGTTTTGGGGTTCCACTCGGTGGATTTCGTGGTGTGGGACCCCGTGCGCCGCGAGCGCCTCCTCTCGGTGCCGTGCGGGGGCGGCCATCGGTCCTGGAGCTACTGCGCCCCCAGCAGGGCGAACGCGGGTCCCGGCTGGACGCCGAGCCTGGGGGACGGGTTCGCCTTCATCAAGCAAGGAGGGGTCTTCCTGTCCCGCGGCCGAGGGCCCCCCCTGTCGGGTTTTGGGGTGCCACTGGAGCTGAAAGAGGGGGTGCACGGAAGAGGGGTGGCGTGCGTGTGTCGGGTCGGGGCAGTGAGGTCAGAGGCTGGGGCGTGGTGGGAGGTCCTGGTGACGGGGGGCGAGGACACCACCCTGACAGTGCTGGGTGTACAGCCTGACTGTGGATCTGTCAGAGTGCTGTCCATCATCGCTGACCACATCTCCAGCGTCAGAGCGCTGGCCACTGTACCCCAACCCGAGGGGGAGACGGGCGCACAGGGCGGGGGACGCGGGGACAGACAGACAGGTGCAGGGACAGACAGGCTCCCAGATGGACAGACAGACGTACAGGAGCCCTCCTGTCTGTCTGCATTGCTCTTCTCTGGCGGGGGGCGGGCCCAGCTGCAGAGCTACAGGCTCCTGATTGGCTGGAACAGGCAAGAAGGCACCCCTTCCTGTCAGGTGATCCAGGTGGCAGGACACCGATTGGCTGAGCAGTGGGAGAAGAGGCGGAACCGACACAAGATGCTGAAAATGGACCCAGAGACCAGGTGAGTGTTTTTTTTTGTGGGGGGTGAAAGGTCATATTCCACCATTGTGATATTCTAGTAGTTTTTTGGACTAGTGAAAAAACGTGTTACAAAACCAAATGGAAAGGTTTCAAGTGTTTAAAACAATTAAAAATACAAAATATTAAAATGTAAGTAGGTTGGTTTAAAGAACATAATCAGTACAGCAGATTGTTTTTCTGTGACATCATCCCTAACAGCGCAGTATTTCTAACAATGTAACAGATTACAAAAGCAAACTTGAAATGTAATCATCCATACAAACGCTTCCTAAAAAATAAAAGCGAAGGGCAAGTGAATCATTAAAGCAAACGTCAAGAGGAGAGCTGCCGGCCTGACCTGTATGACCCCGCTTGTTCCACAAGAGGGCAGAGCGTCGCCACGGTCACGCTCACTGCAGGGGCTGACGTGACGAGAGGGGGCTCTCTCCAAACACTTCCCCTCCTCCTGCAAAGCTGGCAGTACTCTGGGTCAGCTGAGGCCAGCTAGTTCACCTGGTTTTTGTGTCGGCCTTGCATTGTGCCTGCGTCGGGGACGTCCTGTTTAAGAAGGAAAGAATCTGCACACAGTGCAAACCTGAACTTACTGTAACCGTGGACAGTTTGACCCGTCCGAGGAGGAGACTCGGGAAACTTAAATAGAGCAGCAGGCCAGTATG